AACCAAAGAAGTTATATGCATACCCATGGACACAGTCAATAACAGGGTGAAGGCCTGGGAAAGGGGTGGGAGCGAAGTGGAGGGGGTCAATTGGGGGGGGGGGAATGGTATACCTGTAATACTCTCAACAATAAAGATAAATTTAAAAAGTTTAAAAAAAAGAAAGAAAAGAAAAAATAAATAAAATATAGAACCTCAAACAAACAAAAAAATAAAAAATAAGGTGCTGTTCTCATTAAATTCCTAAAATATTTAACTTTTGCTTAAGGACCTTAGTGGAGACCAAAAGTGTGGGATGATATGTTATTATTTTTTCTGCAGTAACTTGGAAGTCAGATAATGTGTTTGATGGTCTTATAGCTCTAGAAGTTAGAAAATAGAATACAGTAGCATGTACTGGTTACTGCATTTAAATAAATTTGGCAAGGTACTACCAAAGATGACCAGAGCAAAGAACTGGCCAGTTTTCAATCAGGAATGAAAGGGGGGAAAGGATACAGAAATTTGGAGACTTATGGGCTTGGAAGAGGCAACTGCATGGAAAAGCTTTGAGAAATAAAGGCCAAGTAGACCTTAGTTTTGGGACAAAGTTCACATCCAGGTATGGTAGTCATATTAGTTGTTAAAACCTCAGTGGATTAACATATTATACAGCAAATCCTTTCAGTGAGGAAAAAAAATATGTTGTGTTTACTTCTCCGCCAAAGCTTAATAGGCTTAAAGTGCTCACTGGCAGTTAAGTTGGGAAAGAGGTAAGTCGAGAAAGAAAGAACTACAGATGCATCTACTGACACCGGAGCTGTCGGGAATAAAATAGACAAGAAGCTAACCAAATTTTGAAACTGTGAATATGGATTAAGAGAATTGTCACTGAAAAATGGCTCCTGGATTCTTAATCTTCTGCAGGCAGTGAACAAGTTGTAAAACCTGCTCAGTAATCCAAAGCCCTCTTCCGATGTGGCCAAGGAAGATAGTGGCAAAGACAGAGCCCCCAGAGGGTGCAGCCCTAATCACAGAGACCTTGAACTAGTGGGGCCTTCCCGGGGGAACAAAGTTGGACCTGATGGAGGACATTCCTCATCCCCTAGGTAAGAGACTCCCTGGATATCTGTCTAGAATTTCTCCAGAGTAACAATTTTTCTGGTTAAAAAATTAAATAAATAAGTAGGTGCCTAGGATACGTTATCCTTTATTTTAAATCATCTCTGTCTCCCACACATCGCAGAAGGCGAGCTGTTGGGGGACATCCCAGCGCCTCAGGCTTTCTGTGAGTCTGTAACCTGTTCAGCTTCTGTAGCGCTCAGGTCTCCTGTGCTGCTTGTCTTGAATGTTGTAAAGAATTCTGCACCTTAGGTCTCAGTGTCCTTATTTGTCAGTTGAAGAAATCTTTCTAGGTGATTTCTTAAGACACTTAATTTTTTTTAAAATCGTAATTCTATTCTCTGCCAATAGTGGACAGTTCTTGAACTTTATCTCGGATTCAGATAATGATCTTCACTGCATCTCCTGGAAACTGAAAAATAGTACCGGGTTGTCTCTCCCTAAGACCACTAACAGGAAAGGCTTGCACTGATGAGGGGCATTAGTCACAGGGTAGATTCTTATGTATTCAGAATGAAGACTTGACCTGGGAGATTGTATGTGAACATTCCTCTTCAAAATATTTAGAAACATGATCACAAGATGCAGAGAACAAATGCCTGGCACAGAAAACAGGAAAACAGAGAAAAGTAACTTCAGTTTCCAGAAAATGCACAAGCTGTTTGCTCTGCCTGGAACATTCCTCCCCTACCTCACCCCTATACCTGTACCATTTCTGCCTGTCCTTCGGCCTACAGAGCAAGCTTCATGTCTAGGAATCCCGGCTTCAGCCCCAAGATTAGGTTAGGTTCCCATAACTCCTGTCCTTTGTTATATCCCTTCCACTCATAACTGTACATTCAGTGTCTATCTTCCTCACTGAGCTCCAAGCCTACAAGGGTGGAGAGTGAGGTTATTATGTTCATCCTGTGCCTAGCACAGTGCCTGGCACTCAGTAGGTGCCCCACGAATATATTTCATGAAGGCCTCTCTGGGTGCCCTCATATTTCACTGCTGTGGAATTATTTCTCTCCCCTGCCACACCACCCTGTACCTGTATTTTATGATGAAAAAGTACACCAAGAATTAGAGAAAGTGTCCCAGTGTTTTTGCCAAAACCATGATCTGTTACATAAGCTGCTCAGGGGGAAAATACTAGTAGAATACTTCAGACAGTAATTCTATTCAATGCAAGAGATTAAAATATGCATACTCGGAAAAAAGCACATCACCTATAACTACAGAGCAAATGCTATCGGATAGCTCTTATTTAAGGAACAGCTCATACTCAGTTTCTGGATTTCTACAACAACCATTAGAGGGGAAAAGATTTTTAAATTTACACATGGATAATTGAATATGCAGAATACTTCTGAAAACTTAGAAACTTAGAACCATCTACACCCACACAGTCTGCATTCACTTGCCTTTACTATTCCACTATCTTCATCAACAGGACTTTAATAGTCCAGGAAACTCTTGCTCAGAAAATTAAAGTTGCAGATAATTGTATTGGTTATTTCAGAAACATCCAGAAAAAACATTTCAAACTGCTCAGCCAATCAATAAACAGTTATCAAATGATTATTTATTCTCTGAGACTTTGAAACCCTCATGATGTGTCCACAGTCTTAACTGTGATTCTCACCCAGTCTTAATCAACCCCCTACACTGAAAGACCCCCCTTAAACCAGACCCCAAAGCCTCATAAATATCCTGACTTCGCCCTCCCTTCCCAGACAGTACTAAGCCTCCTTCAAGGTGCCTTCCCTCACTGCGGTTTGAACAAGCCCAGCTTTATCCAGTGGGTGTTTGGGCAGTATTTTCAGGGAGCAAGCATTGGACAAAACTAATAGTGGTTACTTTTGAGGAAGGAGCTGAAAGAAAAGATGTGGAAGTTGTTCTTTTGTACCATTGAATTTTTACATTGGTATGTCTTATGTATTCCAAAAATAAATTATAAAACAAAACAAAATTTAAACATGTAAAAAATGCAGAAGACACCATTGTGTGCTCTCCTCTCTGACCAGAAGGTGTCATTCCTTGCCTAGGTACTCGCTGCCTCCACTGTCACTCTGGGCTGGGGAAGGGATGACAGGAGGCCTCCGTTACATGGCAGAGGGCCTAAATGGGGATGGAAATGTTGGCCCCTGGAAAGAAAGGCCCAGGATCTCCTCACAATAATAGGTAATATTTATTGAATACTTTCTAAATGCCAAATAATATTTTTAAAACATCTTTCTAAAATGAGTGTAGTATTAACTATACATATTTCAAGTGTGCAACATGATGAATTTTGACTTATGTATGCAACCATAAAACTATTACTGCAATCAAGGTAATAAAGATCACCCCCAAAAGTTTCCTTGTGTTAATTTGTAATTCATTCCTCCCCCCTTCTAGATAAGTTTTTGGGTTTGTTTTTTTTTTTTAATTTATTGATTTGAGAGAGGAAGAGGAAGAGAGAGGGAAAGAAACCTCAATTTGTTATCCCACCTGTTTATGCATCCTTTGGTCGATTCCTGCATGTGCCCTGCCCAGAGGCGAATCCACAACCTTGACGTATCAGGACGACGCTCTAACCAACTGAGCCACCCAGCCAGGGCTAGATAAGCTTTTAAGCACTTTTCGTGGATACTATTATTTCATTCTCACCTTACTCTTTGAGTATTATTACCCCACTTTACAAAGGGGGAAACTGCGGTGTGGACAAGCTTAATAACTTGCCCTTAGTTCAGTCAAGTGGTAGAACACAGGCAGATTTGAAACCATATATACACTGAATCAGCAATTTTCAAGCTGCAGTACATTTATCTCTGAAGTATATGAAGACTTTCCGAAGGCACGAGGGCTTCCTACATCTTCAGCTTCTGCATGGACTCTCCCTCTCAGCAACTCACTAAGAATGGGCTGTGTGAGCTGAAGCTTCACGATCAGTCCTCTTCCTTTTCTTTCCATTTTACAAAAGGTATAACTTTAATTCATTCCCTGGTGCGTTGTTCTTGTTCTGGGTTTTTTTAGATATTTGAAATACTGTCACTTTATGTAGGTAATAATACAAAATTCTTTTTTTTAAGTCAAGATTTACAATGCTTTCAACCAAATTGAAGAAAGACCTAATCAAACTGAGTACTGAAAATAGATCACTAAGAATGATTTTTGATGAAAGATTATTATATACTTTTTGGCATATAACATGAAAGAGATCAGAAAATTCAGTGACATTGCTAAAGCTAAATGCTTTCTGTTTCTACTCATTTACATGAGTCATATTTCTCAAAGAATGCATTTATAGAAATTAAAAATAGGAATAAAAGTAATCCTGAATCCAATCTCATTCTAGAATAAGTAGTAATCATCTATAGATACATGCACAAATTGGAGAAAAACACACTCGGCTATATCCATCTCATTAGGAACTGTGTTTCTGAGTTTATTTTATATTTTATGTTCAATATTTATTTACCCAAATATGTGGCTGCTTAATTTTTTATTATTAAAATTTGTTCTGTTTTGATTCATTATGTTTATTAATAATTTGATTGTTAAGTGAATCCACAAGAATTCTTGAATATCTTTGAGTCTTATAAAATAAAATCACTTAGCTATTTCAAGTTATATATGTATTTTTGTGGCAGAAAGTTTGATAGGGTAATCACTAACACTTTTAAGCATAAAATACATTAGAAAAAAATTCCATGATGAAAATGGGTGGAAACATGAATTGAAGGGGAAAAAGGAACAATGTAAAAATTCTGACTATTGAACTTATTTGTGTAATTTTTTAATGGATAGGGGGTATCAAGTTGTATGGACTATACATTACACTGGATGATATTTCTTAAGTCACAAGTTTTATTCTTGCCAATATCATAGTATCCAGAAATCATATCCTTTCAACTATTTAAATTTAAGATGAAAATTCTAGATTTTGACTGAAAATACTCAAGGGGATGCATGCTTTTAAAGTCTTCTTTTAGGAGATATGCAATAAAAAATGTTTAAAGTTCATGTTTTCCCTCATATCTGCTTCATGGAAAACAAAACTGGTGGTCCTGATTACTCGATCCAAAATCTCTTTGAGGATTGTTATGGGCTCTGTTGTGTTCCTCCTAAACTAATATGTTGAAGCTCTAACCCCCAATATGATTGCATTTGTAGGTGAGGCCTATGTACTCCCCTAGCTTTTTGTGCTTTCTTCTATCAGTATATTTTGGCACACTGTATTTTAACTGTTAATTTGTTTATTTCTCCCTCCACTAATCTGTGAGCCCCTTAAGGATAAAAACCTCACTTTATTTATCTTCATATTCCCAGGACTGATAAAGTACCAGGCATGTAAGAAATGTATGTATTGAGTACTTACTGTAAGTACTGTAATACCAAGTGTCAATCCTTACAGTCACCTTACATCTGAAGTACTCACAAATGTTTACATTTTAGTAAGTCAAACAATGTAAATTTTCTTATTAACATCCTTTTGTTCAGTGAGTTGATAATTTAAGTCACAAGAATGTTCTTTTTCTCCTATCTGAAGCCCAAACGATACAAGAATAGTTTCTGCAATCATTTAAAGTGTTTTCTACTTAGATACGACTTCTTGTGTCTTGAGGATCACCACCTCCCCCCACTGTAAAAAAAAAAAAAAAGCAAGTGGGGGGGACGCTCTGGTAGGAGCTACAAATCCAAATGTAATAGAGGGTAGAGCCTTCTCTGAGTGGGAGTAGTGCTGAGTGCCCTCCTTTCTTTAGAGTGCTCTCTGTTCTCTTCCCATGCTCCCTGAGGGGTAAGTCAGGCTTCAGGGTAGCCTCCTTCGGGTGTGTTCCCCATCTTCTCTCATGTAGGAACTCCTAGGAGGCCCAGGGCAGAGTCTTGGGTGGGGGAGACAGAGAATGAATAGTCTGTGTGGCCCTGGGCTCAGGGGAGCATCTCCACATCGTGGACTTACTTTTCCCTGACTCTGTCGTTCAGAGTTTACCATCTTGAGGAGCAATATCAGAGTGTGGACATCTAGGGTAGAGTGTGTAATTATTTAAAGAATCTTCTCTGTTTATATATCACTCACCTTTCCCCCATCCCTTTGCCTCTAAACCTGTTTCCAAAACAAAACCATTGTACCAAAGAAGAGCTTACACCGCAATGGGTTTCCCATGTGCATAGAGCTGGGGAGCAAGCAGGAGAAAAGCGGAGATACCAATCACTGTTTGCCCTGCAGTGATGGCTGGCTGAACATGATCCCTTAATTAGGATTCTTTACTCTGACCCCTCCCTGAATCCTTAACAGGAGTCTGAGAAGTCTGGGTCAAAAGGTTTAAGGGAGAAGCAAAAATGTGCATTTTTTTTTAAAGATGATGATCATCTTTAAACAAACTTTGGCATCCACAGAAATATTCACAGAGACAAGTGCACAGATTTTCTTTCCAAGAAAAGAACACTTATTTATTTTTAGTCTACTCCCAAAGCCTTAAATTACATCTTCCCTTAGATTTAACCTCTAGGAAGACATCTTTATCTTCCCTGTATCACTCTCTACCACCATCTCCTCTTTGGAGAGTCCCCTAAATGGCTAAACCACATCTTCTCCCCCAGTGATCTTTCCCACGTGATTCCTCCTTTGTGTGACTATCCCCAGCCCATCTCCCCCAACCCTTTATTTTGGCATCTAAGTATCTGTGAAGTAGTCGGAAGCAGCTGAGCTTCAGGACCTGCTCCTCTGTCACTCACTCACTAGACAATCCGAGAAATCAAATTATTTGATAGAATGAGTTCTGCTTTCAGAGGCAGAAGAATGCTGTCCAGTAATGTCAGAGAGGATTCACGTAGTCTCTTTCCAGCTTCTGTCTGAGGGGGGGAAACAAAAAACAGAAGAACACATCATGATACTCAGAAAGTCTTCACAATTATAGAGGAGCTTTTCCCTATTTAAAAAAACAAAAGAAACCCTCACAAATGTACAAAAATATAATGTAAGTATAATTAGAAAAAATCATTAATTTTCAATCAGATAAAAACACGTTTTTTTAAAATCACATAGACCCTCTCACACAAATGGGACTATTAACTTTTTCTGATGTGAACTATGGAGATTATTACTCTCCCTTCAAGTGTTTAGGACAAAAAAGAAAAACCCACTTTCTGTCAAAAATAAGCTCCCAAAAGACAATAACAGTAACTCAGAAGAAGGTTCCCTTAACTTCTGACCACCACCACCCTACCCCAAAAGCCCACCCTCCCCTCTCCCGGGCTTACCTCATTCACAGGGATCAGAATACTGAATTGTTGCCTGTTCATCTGTGAAATGAAATGACATATTTTATTACATCGCAGGCTTCATACATTAGAGAGAAAGTATTTCATAAAAGCTACTGTGTTAGCCCTTTTCAAAGGATCTCTACAGGTTATATTCAGAATTACAGGAAGGTTCCAATCACTGATATTTGCACTCTTATGGTAAATTATTTACCACAGCAAGAATATTAACAGTTAGTCCTTAGAGAACAATGGTCCACCTTTTTCTTTTGGTCTACGGACCACATCCTATAAAATATCTCTAATGCAGAAGACTTCTTAAAATGGCATATAATTGAACTAAAGTATTTTAAGAGATCAGATAATATAATTATATGCTACTTGCCCTGGGAAGGAATATTTGTAAAATTAGGAGAGATATTTTATTTTATATTTCTTTTAATTCTCACCCAAGGATATGCTTTTATTGACTTGAGAGAGAGAGGAAGGGAGAGGGAGAGAGAAACATCCACATGAGAGAGAAACACTGATGGGCTGCCTCCCGCACGGCGCCCTAACCAGGACGGAACCTGAACCTGGGTGTGAGCCCTGCTTGGGAAGTGAACCCACAGGACAGCCCGGTGCTCCAACCACCTGAGCCACACCGGTCAGGGCGGGAGAGATGCTTTAAAGAATGAGGAGAACTCTGCTGGGAGACGCAGGTGAAGCTCAGCCCTCACCTGGGAGGTAGTAATCGTAGACTTTGATGGTTGCTGGTTTCAGGTTGGTGACTAACACACTCTGGCTGATGGTGCAGGTGTAGGTCTGAGTCTCCTTACTGAGCTATGGGGAAGATAGACACAACATCACATTGAAACTAAGGTGGAAATAACAGTCTATGTAATGTGCACGTTAAAGGACTTTGGTCTTCACACAGATTTTCTGAAACCCT